CTTTGGGGTCCTTAGGGGCTAGTAAAGCGCTATACAAATACATTTACCATCTTTATGCCATATTCTGACCCTACCATCCAAGAGTGCAACTCCTGCCGGCTAAGCAGCCAGTTTCCTGTTCTTAGCCGGCATGAGTTGCACTCGGCATGGTCTTCTGCTGCAGCTCATCTGCTTCAAGGTTCCACGTTGTATTCATTCAGAGATGCTCTTCTGCATACCTTCGTTGTAACGAGTGGTTATTTGAGTTACTGTTGCCTTCCTGACAGCACTCTGGCCATTCTCGTCTGGCATCAGCAGGGCTTTTTCTCTCAGAGAACTGCAGCTCACCGTATATTTACTCTTTCAGACCGTTCTCTGTAAACATTAGAGATGGCTCATCAGCATTTTCAGAACTACTCAGACCAGCCCATCTGGCGCCAATAACAATGCCACGTTCAAAGTCACTTAAACCACCTTTCTTCTCTGTTCTGATTCTGGGTTTGAACTTCAGCAGCTCAGCTTGACCACATCTACAGGCGTATCTAAAATTAGATAATAATAGTTCTCAGTTCAATCAATATTTTTACAGTAGCATTAATACACATAAAGCTAAAAAAACATATTATTCCTAATCTGTGCCACAACAGTCGCTGATAAACTTAGAACAGATTTAAAGCACATCCAGTCAAAGGAACATTCCAGTAGCTCGCTTAATACCATGGTAATGGTGCCGCTGTCTTTACAGAAGCATGTACACAGTGGGTGTGATGGTGTTGACCCTGCATTGTTATGGTCTTGTGATAACAGCCCATCAGAGCACTGCGCTGTGTGTGATAAGTAGTGAAAGTTGCTCTGGTGTTTATAGTCACAAATAAACTCCTCTTCAATCCTTGTGTAAATGAGGGCATTTTTCTCACTGAGGGTTTAATAAGTAAACTCAGTATAGCTGATACTCATCTTTATGGGCTGTTCTTGTCCTGTTGCGACCTTGTGATGAAGCTTTGCTAAGCCACGTGTCACTAAAGTGGTAATGTGAATCACTCAGAGGGTTTTTTGTATCGGCTTTGCGTTTGTTTTTCTGCTCCTTTTTAATCAACTTTTTTAGATCCGTCTGTTCTGGACCTTTGCGAACACCACATGAATTCCTTAATTTCTGCCCTCC